ACTTGATCCCAAGCCCTATAAACCCCAGACTGGTATGACTGGACTAATGCAATCACTGTAGCTTCCAACATTTGTTGGATTTCTGAATTCCTCCAGCCAAAGTAAAATAAAAATTAGAAATCAATACATTTAAATAATAAAATAAAAATAGCCATAGAAACAGAAATTACCAAAAAAAAAAAAGATTTAAAGTTATCCTTTTCATACCTCAGTACTGTAATGTAAAATAATGTAATATGAAAAGTAACACATTAAGATGCCTTATCTATTGCTTTAAATGAAAGCTCAAGATTTGATATAAATCTCAATTGATTATGAGATAATCTGATTTTATATCTGAGGGTTTTTTTTATTAAATCTAAATTCTATATTACTATCTCACAATTTTAATTTAATATATGTAATCATCAGCGATTAAATGCTTGAAATTATTTAAATAACAATAATATGCATAGACTGCAAGAGTATAATATATTATTACACATACAATTTTGCAAGGTAATTTTAATGATATCAAAGCCTGTCCTCTCACACCATGATAACTGATCTGAAACTAAGGAGAACATTAATACACCTTGCTTCTATATCTAGAATTAATTACAAAAAAACTTTAAAAATTAGAGAATAGAATCGTTTAACTACAGACATTATTTTCTCTATGTTAACAAATGTCGAGCTTTGGCCCCCTCCCCTACCTTGGGGAGGTGAATCTCTTCTCTCTCTCTAATTTCTAAATAAACTATATTTTCCGATCTAAAAAAAAAAAATGTTTTGGAAACAGCAGACATGTCTATGTTTAAAACAGTGACAACTTTTCATTTTTATTTTCCTTAAGATTATTATCAGTCGATGTCAAAATGCACCTTGAATTTCATAGATTAAGAGTATATCAGATGAAAAAAATATCAAATATTTGTCTCACAAACCCCAAAGGAAATATAGCCAGTTTGAATAGATGGCCCATTCTCAGTTCCAAAACCCGAATAAATAGCCAGATGGTTCTTGGTATCTTCTACCTCACAAGAATGCAAACTGACTTTATGACCTTAGGGAACTTAGCCAAAAAGAAGTAGCAGTAAAACTCATAACTGATAACATTTTGAAGTAATTTGCATTGGGGGGGGGCAATTTTTCTCCTCATGCCACCCATGTTCAACTGTGACATTTACATACTGCAAAATTTGATCATTGAAAATATCTTTAGTGCAACTGTTACAGGTTGTTTTATTACTTGAAGAAGTTGTCAATGTAAATGTGTCATTATTTTTTTCACTTTATCATTTTAATTTATCTCCGCCCCCCTCCCAAAAAAACACACCACCACAGGGGCCAGGAAAATTAATTCCCCAAATGCTGTCAACCGGGTTGAGAATCAGCAATAAACAGCTTACCGTAAAGCCTCCAGCTACAATAAAACAGCTGTCAATAAGTGGGCTGAGAGTTGGGCTGTGCAAAAACAAGTCCTCTGGATATGATGATATGAAAGAGAGAGAAGCTGGCATATCCTGTCCCAGTCTGCCAAGGCAGTGGTTCTCGGAGTGTGGTCCCCAGACTAGCAGTATCACTGTCACCTTGGAACTTGTTAGCAATGTCTATTTCCAAGCCTGACCCCAGTGTTACTGAATCAGAACCTCTCAGGGTAGGACCCAACACTCCATGTTTTAAGGAGTGCGCCAGGTGATTTTGAGGCGTAAAACTGGAGAATTAGTATCGCATTTTAAAATAATATCTAACAAGAAAACTGTTAGGTGAACACTAATAAAATTTATTGTTTAAAGGCTTGCTTATGTTTCGATCCTCTTAATCTTACAGCAGTGAACTTTGTTTTATTTTTTTAATAAATAAATACCATAACATAATATTTTGGTTTTTTAAAAAAAGTAAATTCTCAATCTGTAAATGTCAAGAGCACTTCCAAAAATTTGAAAAAAATAATTTGTGGAAAATGCAGTGACGAATTTGTTATATTCAAGAAAAATAAAAGCTTTGTAGAGTAGAGTAAATGATTTACAATTACTTTGCATGTTCTTTGTAGGTAAACCAAGGGAAAATAGCAAGGGGGAAAAGTTAGAAAAAATAGGAATCGATGTATCACAAACTAAACCATGGTGTAAAAGCCAGACATTGTGTATCTACTTCATAGACAATACAAAATAGTGATATTTAAGTTTGGTAAACCTTTTTCAAGAATCTTGCATTTTACCCACATATCAATTAGCAGCATAAGGTGAAAAAGTGTTCTGTAATAGCAATTGTGCCCCCAATTACAAATCTTCACAGATTATGTTAGTTTATAAATGTCTTTGAAAATTTTTGTAGTAGTAAACATTACTTTTTCAAAATTGTGTAGTTTCAGGAACACATTTTATAGAAAAGTCACTAGTTGACATGAAGAAGCTCAAAAAGCAGTTTTTGCTTTTTAGCTTAACTAGAACATCTTCAGTTAACAACCATATAGTTCAGTGAAAATAAATTTGTAAGGGAAAGTATGTCATTTATGTTCTTCACTCATACAAAATATGCTCCCTTTACATAAATTTGTACTTGTTGTTCTGTATATCACCACTACCTCTACTGCCTTCAGATACGCGTTTTCTCCAACATATTTTTTTATTTTTCAGTGTGAAAACGTTTGAAGGGTGTAAGCAAAGCCATTTTAGTAGCTCTTTATCATAGCAGAGAATTACAACTACATTTGAACATCAGAAGGCCTACAGGAGAACTGGAAGGTGACACAGTCACAATGAATGGAAAAAATACACTTTGGTTCCAGTTAGAGAATTACTCAGTGTCCTATTTGAAAGATTACATCACATCACACAAATGAATTATGTTTATAACTGACTAAGCCTCAGCAGAAGCTCTTTGCATACTTTGCTAAACTGCGCTTAACATTTATGTCACTGTATTATACATAGGTTCAACTTTTGGGAGAAGTCAAAAAAAGTACATTGATGCTAATACCCCCCACACTTAGATGAAAAGAAAGATGATGTGAAAAGTACATCAGTACATTTCTTTGGTAAACAAATTTCAGATCTTACATGAAAAGTTTTAGCTCATTTAGTTTTTTAAAGATAATTATGCAAATTATAAAATACTATAAGTATATTGTGAGTGACCTTCACAATAAAAGTAATAAAAAATTATTGTCATTAAAATAGCAACTTCTTAATTAAATGCAATTAGTTTCATAAATTATTTTTCTTATCTTAATTAACTATTTAACAACTTTTGAACACCTCTAATAAGCCATTTCTAAATTTTAAAACATCAACCTCTTTTCAAGCGCTAATAAAGTTAACACAAAAATTAGTAATTGCAACTTTGATTTAATGAAATAGTTTCATAGTTTCCTTTAGAACTTCTATACTGATTTATTTTTAAGTCCATTCATCTGTGTGTTTAAGCTGCAAACATTTGTACTTTTAAAATGCTCTAGATGTTTAATATTTTACTTTAAGAAATGGAGATTTTAGTAGTATAATTATAGGCACTGTACTTAATATTCTGGGAGTATCTGTGTGACTCATTGTCAAAATTATTTTTATAAATGCCTCATTACCATGATGTCTTGAAGTCATTTGAGAGCAATAAATAATAGTCTGTAAGGGAGAAACAGTTTCAGTAAGATACCCTACTCAATTCTCTCCTCAGAAAAGAAAAACTCTTAACTCTCCAGAGACTAATCAATGACTGTCAATACTATCCTGCAAATCACTTTTGCTTTCCTTAATGTTCTGAAATCAATGTGTTCCTTATTTTTACACAAGCACAGATGGCCCATCACCATAGGTGAACTCCATACCAACAAAGATAGAACTTGCATAATGAAATCCTAGAAAGTTGTAGCGCAAGTTAGTCACAAAAGAGCAAGCAAATGAACTTAAATGCTAGTTGCTACAGAGCAACTATCATTAAATAAAAGGTATCTTTGGTTGTACTACCAGCTTGATCCTTCCCTCCCCCCTTTCCTTGCTACTGCGGGATTGGCACCTGGCCAGCAAAAGTGACATGATACCCTAGTGCCATCTACAGGCTATTATCGATATTCAAATTTTGTGGCAACAGACAAGCACCAGTCAAATAAATTAGACAGCGCTGCATTTAAATCTTTATTAACAAGGAATTATTAGACCTAAGAAAAACTAATTCTGGATTTGGTTGAAATATGAGTTTCTCAGCCTCTTAATCCCTCTTCATATGGCATATTTCACAGTTTAAAATGAGTTATGACAGATCACTTATGCATTACTAAGATGAGAGTATTTACAATGGGTTCATTATTTTCTCTATATAAATCAGTTATATTAGGCAGTAAGCATTCCTTTTTTTTTGAACTTTTTTTGAAAGAGTACTTGGCCATTGTGGACACTAAAAATCTTTCTATTAAATACCCAATTTAATATATTACAATAAAATAATTTGAATCAAAAAGAAGACTTCCTATATGGCTTACTTGCAATCTATCAACAATCATGTGCTTCACAGCTGATGTACATTTAATATTCTACTATCATGTTTAGAGACTAAAAAAAAATTAACCCCTTTAGCAACCACAGCTTCAACATAATTGCAGTCAGACCTTCAAACGTCATTTAAAATCTGAGATTTGAAGGTGACTTTTTAGATCAAAAGGTAACGTGAACATCTTGAAGCAGTCAATTTGGAAACCCCAGGAGCAGAATTTGGCATATTGGGACAGGTTTTCTTCTTCGGCAAACATCATCTTGGGACATTTTGGAATAATTTCCTCTTTTCATCTTTTGCCATTTGAAGGAAACTGGGAGGTTAAATAATTCTCAGAACTCAGAAATTTCAAAGCTGTTCTAAAAATTCTTGACTGAGCCCCAGAGGAATAGAAAAGGGGTCAAGTTTTTTTTTTCCTCTTTGAAACTAAGCTAAAGTTAGACCAAAACAATAGACACACTGGCACGTTAATACTGGTTGACGGGGCACTTGTACGCAGTACTTATAGACCAGTAAAAGTGCTCGTTTACCTGTCTGGTGTGTAAGGGGCCCTTTGTCTTGAAGCCTCCTTGGGAACTGCACTCTGAGGCACTGAAGTGATCTGAACTAGTGGAAGAGCGTTTGGAAAGGGTGTCACAACCCCCGACAAAGGTGTTGTCCAAAGGCAGTTCCTGAATCACATGATGCTTTTTCACAGATACGGGAGTGTCTGGTTTGAGATGAAAAGCAGGCTGTGGAGAAGCAGATTTGTAGTGCTTGGCCAGGTCAGGGCTGTTGGGCTTGAAGGTGGTTGGGGGAGCCGGGCCCCAGTCAAATCTTCCTATGCTCTGCTCCTCCAACTCAGCCGGCAGGCTTATCGTCCCATTGATAGGTTCGTGAACTGCATCATCGGGTTTGGACTCTTCAATGGTGACAAAGTTCAAGAGAGAGCTCTTGGGAGACTTTCTTTTCTTCCTTTTCTTTTTCTTGTTCTGTTTGTTCTCCTGGTTTGGGGACATCCACTCGGCACCCTGCTTGCTTCTCTGGGCGGCTTTGAACCTCGACGCATGGCGACAGCGCACCAGAACAGTGACGAAGATCACGACGATGACCACCATGGCGCCTGCGACGATGGCAATCATGATCGTGAGATAGTCCTCGTTTTGATAGGGTTGGCTGCTATCCCCTATGTTCCTGTCCAGTGGGGTCTCCATAGTCCTGCGAATCAAGTCATAGATGTAGGAGGCGTTTCCCGCAGTGTCATTAACATAAAGAAATACAAGCACTAGTGTGTGCAAAGCCTTAGGGTATCCCAGGTCACTAATGTTGACCACCAAACGATGCAAGCCCACATCAGTAGGTGCCGGTTTTTCTTCTAGAGTAATGTTACCCGTGACTGGGTCGATCCGAAACAAGCCTTTGCTGTTTCCACTCACAATGGTATACTTCAATTCAGCGTTCATTCCAGTGTCAATATCCACTGCAAAGACTTCTGCTACCACGGAGCCAGGAATGGCTGAGAGGGGCACCAACTTAAAGGAAGTATTCGACGGTGGAGAAATGACCACTGGGCTATTGTCATTGACATCCATGACGTTGATGGTAACTTTTGCAGTAGAGGAACGAGGTGGTTGTCCTCCATCAGTGGCTTTGACATCAAAAGTGTAGGAACTCTGCTGCTCTCTGTCGAAGGAAACATTTGACTTTATGACTCCAGAATAGGGGTCCAACACGAAATTCTCATTGTCGTTTAGAATAGAAAGAGTCACAGCTTTATTCTCTCCAGCATCTGCATCCGTCACTGTGATTACCCCCACAGTACTATACTTTGGCAGATTCTCAGACACAAAAAATTGAAAATGATTATGAGTAAACTTGGGGCTATTGTCATTCTCATCCAGAACAGTAACTATCACAGCCGCTTGGCTTTGGAGGGGAGGGGTTCCATTGTCCCTGGCAGTTACTGTAAAAATGAATCGTTCTTGTTCTTCTCTGTCAAAGACTCTGGAGGCTGTCAAAACTCCTGTCTTTCGGTCCAGATCAAAGAAGGAGGCATTCGGTCCAAGCTGATAAACGATATCTGCATTTTTCCCACTGTCTTCATCTGTGGCACTAATAGTTGTTAAGTATAACCCACGTCGGTTGTTTTCAGAAACTGACAGCTCAATTACAGGCTGGTTGAAAATTGGTGGGTTGTCATTTTCATCCTCAAGCTTAACCCTTACCAGGGCAGTCTGATTTAAACTGGGCTTTCCAGAATCAGAGGCAACAATTTTAAAGCTGAATTCTTTGGTGCCCTCATAGTCCAACAAAGAAGAGGTCTCTAACAAATATTGGTTGTCATATACCGCCTTTAAATGAAAGGGGACCTCTCTTTCAATAAAACAGATCACTTTGCCATTCACATCTGTGTCCTTATCTGAAACTGTAATTAGGGCAATCTTTGTATTGACAGGATCTTTCTCAGATAAATACACAGTGCCATTGATGGGACTTATAATGTACCTGAGGTCTATGTTAGGAGGGTTATCATTGACATCGGTGACATTGATGGTGACCGTTGCTCGAGCAGGAGTAGAGCTACCATCACTGGCCAGAACTGTCACTTTGTGAACGGCTGTCTCCTCTCTATCTAGGGACCTCTGAACTGTAATCAGCCCAGTAGTGTTATTTAAAGCAAAGAGTCTTTTGGTAGCAGGGGCGACCTGGGCTCCAAAAATGTACCGGATTTCAGCATTACTGCCTATATCTGCATCAGTGGCATGGAGCTGAATCACAGAGGTACCTACAGGAGCATTCTCCGGAATATGAACCTCCACTTGACCCTCCTTAAACACTGGCCTGTTGTCATTGACATCACTTACTGTGACCTGCAGTATGGCTGTGCTGGACTTCTGGGGAGTGCCACCATCCTCGACTTTGATTTTCATCACATAGGTATCTTTCTGTTCTCTGTCCAAGTTTTGCTGAACAATCAATTGTGGCCACTTCTCTCCCTCCGGAGTTTCCACAATATCCAGACCAAAAACACTCTGCCCATTTAACAACTCATAATGCTGTACACCATTGAAGCCTGTGTCGGGATCTGTTGCTGATGGAATTGGAAAGCGGCTGTTGATCAAAGTGTTTTCTGGAATGGAAATATTGATGACAGGAGATGGAAACATGGGGGCATTATCATTGGTATCCTTGACAATTATTTTTATTTTGATCAGCCTGAAAAAGTCATTGGGGAGGATCACCACCTCAAGTTCAAAGAAACACTCATTCTCCTCAGCATACGAGGCTCCAGCACAGAGTTTTTCTCTGTCTATTCTGTTGGAGGTTGTGAAAATCTCCCCAGTGCTGCTGGATACTTTCACCAAAGGGGCATCCCCAGCTTTAGAAACCAGTCTGTAGACAAGGCTGGCACTGGTCCCTGTGGCAGCACTGATGTGAGAAATGTTCAGATCCTTTGGTATGTTTCCTATGGGCACGTTTTCAGGCAGTTCCTCTCTAATAGTGTAAATAAGTTCTTGAGCTATTGCAGAATCCAACCTTAAACAGGCAATCAGAGCAGCCAACAGGTAAAAATCCCTCAGGTCCATGATAATGTATTTATTTTCTTTTCCTGGATTTTAAGGTTTAAAGGTTTCCACTGAGGAATGATGTACGAATTGCAAGAGGAAGCGTGCATGGACTGGAGGATGCATTACATCTCATCACTTATTTGGAGACAGCCACTGTCAACACAATTGTACAGACAATATTATTCTTCAGTAAACAGAAACACACCATCACAAAATAGCAAACACATTTTCCCCTGATATTAGTAAACATGGCAGTTTGCTCTGCCACTGTTTGTAAGTTAACTCTGTGGATAAAAACACCAAATATCTCCTGCTTGTTGCATTTGCCCAGAGAAAATGAATTTTTTACTTTTGAATTAAGGACAGTTGCTATTTTTATCTATATTCACCCACATTGTTTTCTAGAATACTGTTTAATTCAAAACATGCATTCTTGTTCTCCTCTTCCCCTCCCCCTGTCTTACCCGCCTTCTGGCCTCTAACCCACCTCCCTCAATTTTTGTAGGCGCAAGTGAAAAACGCTAAGTATTTAGCTATGGTTACTGCTAATTGCTTTGTCACATGTCAAATGTATTTTCTTCTTTGCCACACTGAGTCATCTCTTTTTTTCTAAAAAAGACTGTTTTTCTTTCCTCCCAGTTCTTCAACTGCCTTCTAATACAATCTTACTGGGAAATGAGCATCCGGACATGCTGCTGCAGCATCAGAAGCAAGAGTCACCGGCCACTACATATCCTCATCGCCTAAAAGCACAATACCAAGACTTCAAATTTCTAAACCACAGCTTGCCCTCCTTTCTCCACATTGACAGATCACCCCCAGTGGAATTCAAAAACACATTAAAACTTTTAAAAATGTATAATAATATAGGATTCCTTATTCTTGAGGTGGAAGAGAGTGCCAAGATGTAAGTGAAACGCAGCTAACATTCCCATGTAACACCACAATATTTTCTACTGAGCATAAAAGAGAAAAAAATGCAGCTTTCTTAATCCTGATTTCTGGCTAAATTTTAGTAACATTTGCCACACATAAACACTGCAATTCAATAATGCAGGTAAAAAGGCTGTGTTTAGATGCTCCCCTAACTGAAATTTAGATGGGTGCAAGGCTCCAGGCAGACACCTACTTGAGTAAGACTGGTCAGTTTTCAGGCTCTAATCTTATCTGCATTAGGCTGCACGGTAGCTGATGCCCGCGATTAGTTCCGGCAGAGTGATGCAGGTAGGGATGCAGATACAGCCGAGTAGGTGAGCTCTGCCCCAACCGTCTACCAATTACAAACATCCCTCGTCTACACCGAGGACATATCTGAGCACGGAATTTACAATTGTGCATGCGAAAGTTTACACTTACGTTAGTTGCCTCAACCTTTCCCCTCTCCCAGTATGCTGCAGTTAGGGATGATTTGTTCCAACACATAGAAAGCCATGCATCTGGTAGCACCAGTTTGGGGAGAAATCAGAAGCAGCAAAACGTTTCTTCCTTGTAAATTGTATTGCTTCGGGCTGGCAAATTAGCAACTCCAGAGAACAAATTCACAGATATGTCTTTAGTCATTCTCTCCACATTTCGTCTCTGTCACCCACCGGGTCTGGGTTCTTCTGTGTATTTAGCACACATACAACATCCAGTTGCACTTCTTCAGCTCAGGAGTATTTTCCACAGCATCAGGCATACCATTTCCATCCGATGCCAATACTGCTTAAGTCTCTAACTTCTTGCAGGAAACGTCAGAGTTGGGGTGATGCTGATGCTCTGGCTCTCTCCGGATGACAGCTGCCCCCAGATCCCTAATCGGTTATGTCTCCCGTGCGTCCGAGACTCCGAGGCGCTCCTTCCAGCCTCGCACGCTCTCCCTTTCCCCTCTCCTCTGCCCCTCTCTCCTTCTCCCTCTCCTCTCCTCTCTCTGAACTGAATTTCTTGATATAACTCTCAATAAGCCCAGAGGGAGGGCGTGCCGGCCGCGGCCCCGCCCCCGGCCCCTGATTGGCCAGCATCTTGCGGTGCGGGCAGCCGCGGCCGGCGCGGGGGCGGGGCGCCGAACAAGGCGCTGACTGTCTCCCAGCCTCCCCTCCTCGCACCCCCTCGGCAGCCGCGAAAACGCGGAGAGGCGATCCCGGCCCCGGGGGAGCCGGGTTCCGGGAGGCGCACTGAGCATGCCCAGCAGGGTCCGGCGCTGGCGCGGCGCTCGCGGGCGCTGGCGGGCCGGAGCCGCCGGGCCGGGCTGTCTGGGGACGGGGCGGAGCGGGAGCCCCGTGGGGCGCGAGCCCGGGCCTGGGACGCGGCGGACGGAGACCGGGGCGCGCGACTCTGGGCGCAGGTCTCGCACTTCCTTGCTGAGTGACGGGGAAAGCGCACGGATGGGGGTGCCTGCCGGGGTCGCGGCGCGAGGCGCAGGGCCGCCCTGGCAGGGGGCACGGGCCGGCTCGTCCCCGGCCGCGTGGACCGGACGCTGGCCCGGCGCGGCGACTCCAGGCTTCCCCGGCGGGGACGCCGCAAAGGCGGGCGGAGAGGGCGAGAGCGAGCAGCGGGGATGGCGGGTTTTCATTTCGGTCGAGCCCGGAAGGAAAATGAATCCGAGCTTCCCGC